TTCACAAAAATAAAATGTGCTTTATTTCTAAGTGGAAGGATTACACTCTCTGCTCTTCTGGCTTCTGCCAAGAGCTTTCCTTGGAGCCCCTTGGAGATCTGGACCATCACCCATTAGTGAAGCTCACAGCTGAGTCAGTCTCGCCTGGGCTCCTCGCTGCTCCAGGGGCGGATGCCTTGTTTTCCTCCACTGACTTCTGCTTCCTGTGGCAGCAGCTACATAAGTATTGGCAAAACATGGACAGACTCCAGCCAGACAACTTGGTTTCACCAGTGGATAAGCTCAAGCTACTTTCCAAGTGCTCAGGTGCTCCTTGTGCCTCACTTGGCAGATTCTTGAGTACGGGCATTGCCTCTGTCCTGTCCTAGGTGATTGCAAAGAGGAAGGGGGCCCCTCTGCTTGGTCCTCCTCCTCTTCCTCATCCTCCTTGTCCTCCTTGTCTTCCTCTTTCACCTCATTTTTCCTCAGCTGGAGAATGCAAACTTTGTTCTGCTTCCGCCTCTTTGTCTGAACAAGGCTGGGATCTTCCTTGGGGGAATTCAAGAGCAAGGAATGAAGCATGCTCTCCACCAGCCCATCCTGTTACATATGGGACTTTGCATCTGTCATTGGGGGAGGCGAAGTGCCGCAGAGAAGCGTGGAGATCAGAGAGCAAACCTACACCCAGCGCCCATCTGTCTGTGAGAACTGAGTAGACAACAGAGGTTAAAAAACACTGTCCTGGCCCAGAAGACACGTTCACTTAAAATACTAAAGACAAGCTACAAAGCAATATCTGCAAAGGACACACAGACATATCCTGAATGCATTAAATGCTCTTTTTTTTTTTTTCTTTTTGAGACGGAGTTTCACTCTTGTTGCCCAGGCTGGAGTGCAGTGGTGTGATCTCTGCTCACTGCAACCTCCACCTCCCGGGTTCAAGTGATTCTCCTGCCTCGCCCTCCCGAGTAGCTGGAATTACAGGCATGTGCCACCACAGCTGGGTAATTTTTCTATATTTAGTAGAGACAGGGCTTCACCATGTTGGCCAGGCTGGTCTTGAAGATCGAGATGGAGAGTCCAATTAAGAGTGGAACAGCCCATAGCTGGGCATGGTGGTATGTGCCTGTAATCCTAGCTACTCAGGAGGCTGAGTCAGGAGAATCAATCAAACCCAAGAGGTGGAAGTTGCAGTGAACCAAGGTCACACCATTGCACTCCAGCCTGGGCGACAGTACGAGACTCTGTGTCAAAAAAAAAAAAAAAAAAGGAGCAGCCCATATCTGGGCTTTTAAAAAAATATATATTTATATATATAAAATATATAAATAAATAATAAATGGTAGGGGCCAGGTGCAGTGCTTCATGCCTGTAATCCCAGCACTCTGGAAGGCCAAGGCAAGAGAATCACTTGAAGAGTTTGAGACTGACCTGGGGCAACATAGTGAGATTCTGCTCTACTTTATTTTATTTATTTATTTATTTATTTATTTATTTATTTATTTATTTATTTTTGAGACAGAGTCTCGCTCTGTCGCCCAGGCTGGAGTGCAGTGGGGTGATCTCAGCTCATGCAAGCTCCACCTCCTGGGTTCATACCATTCTCCTGCCTCAGCCTCCCGAGTAGCTGGGACTACAGGCACCCACCACCATGCCCGGCTAATTTTTTGTATTTTTAGTAGAGACGGGGTTTCACCATGTTAGCCAGGATGGTCTCGATCTCTTGACATTGTGATCCACCTGCTTCGGCCTCCCAAAGTGCTGGGATTACAGGCGTGAGCCACCGCGCCCGGCCTATTTATTTATTTTTGAGACAGAGTTTTACTTTTGTTGCGGAGGCTGGAGTACAATGATATGATCTTGGCTCACTGCAACCTCTGCCTCCTGGGTTCAAGCGATTCTCCTGCCTCAGGCTCAAGTAACTGTAATCCGAGCTACTGTAGCCCAGTAGCTGGGAATACAGGCATGCCCAGCTAATTTCATATTTTTAGTAGGGATAGGGATTCTCCATATTAGTCAGGCTGGTCTCAAACTCCCAACCTCAGGTGATCCGTCCGCCTCAGCCTCCCAAAGTGCTGGGATTACAGGCATGAGCCACCATGCCTGGCTGCTCTATTTTACTTAAAAAAAAATTAACAAAAAGATTAAAGTATATGGGAGGATATGCATAGGCTATATGCAAATATTCTGTCATTTTATATAAAGATAATGAGCATCTACAGATTTTGGTATTTGCAAGGGTCTCGCAACCAATCCCCTAAGGTTGCCAAGGGACGACTGTACATATACAGTCAGGCATCACTTAACCACGGGACACATTCTGAGAAATATGGTGTTAGGTGATGTCGTTGTGTGAACATCACACAGTGGACTTACAAACCTAGATGGTGTGGCCTATTATACACCTGGGCAGTCTGGTACAGCCTATTGCTCCTAGGGCACAAACCTATATAGCACATTACTGTACCGAATACTGTAGGCAATTGTAACATATGATATTTGTGTATCTAAACATAGAAAAGGTACAGTGAAAATACATTATGATAATCTATGTGACCACCATTGTATATACAATCCATTGTTGACCAAAACATCATTATGTGGCACAAGACAGTGTATACATATATTAATTTACATATAGAGTGAGAGCAAATGGGCAAAATGTTAGTGACTGATAAATCTAGATGAAAGGCATACAGGTGTTAATTCAACCAGCTTTTCAAGTTTCTATAGGTTTGAACTGTTTCAAAATAAATAATTGTGCATGGGGTACTGTTCTTGGCTCTGGAATCTGGTGTCCTTTTCCAGCTAAGCCTGACCATTGCAGGGTCAGCAACAGTGATTGTCTTCTCCCCGCATGGCTCAGTTATGCTCAGGGACTACTTATGGGGAAGCCATTCCACAAACACGAGGTGTGTCCCTGCCCTCTAGGTACTCACAGTCCAGGGAGGGGAAAGAGCTAGGACAAGTCATCTGATTACAGTGTGGTGGATGCAGTGGCAGAGCAAGAGCCCAGCGCAGGGACTCGCCGACACTGCCAGCGTCCCCTAGTGTCTGGCAGGAGACTGAGTGCACACAGTTCACTGTGGAAAAGAAAAGAGACCCCTTGGTAGCTGGTTGGTAACACACATAGACCCCTAGCCTGGGAGATAGGATGTGTATGCATGCCCTTTCTCCCAAAGTTGTCTTCCAGAGTCAGCCTGGAGCAGATACCCGGAAGTCCCTTTTCACAAAGGACCCCTGCCTTGTTCTTATCTACTTTTCCACTTTGTTTTTTGTTTTGTTTTGTTTTGTTTAAGAGTCTCCCTATGTCGCCCAGGCTGGAGTGCAGTGGTGCCATCTCGATTCACTGCAACCTCCGCCTCCTGGGTTCAAGCGATTCTCCTGCCTCAGCCTCCCAAGTAACTGGGATTACAGGCACCCGCCACCACACCCAGCTAATTTTTGTATTTTTAGTAGAGACAGGGTTTCACTATGTTAGCCAGGCTGGTCTCAGTCTCCTGACCTCAGGCCCACCTCGGCCTCTCAATGTGCTGGGATTACAGGTGTGAGTCACCGTGCCCGGCTATTTTCCCACTTTTAGTTGGGGCCCTACTTCTTCCGGCTGCTGCCTCTTGGGTGAGATCAAGGAGACCCCTGTTTCTGGCCTCCTCACTGACGTCGCCACCCATCTTCAGAGTGTGACACCTACAACCAAACCAACATGTCATGCTCTCGCTCTCATCCTGAGAGACTGCCTCTCAGGATGATGTGCCCTTATGCTAAAATGGCTCCTCATTACTGGCTGCGAGTCTGGGGGGGAACAAGAGGGTGAAAGGGCTGAGAGGACACAGACATCCTTCATGTGTGTAGGGGGAAGGGGGACACCCTGTGCTTTGTACACCTAGAAGCACCTACCTCAGGAAGGTGTCTGGGTTCAGACATTCAATGGGGTCAGTCAAGATTTGGAGGTTTTGGGGGGACTCACTGGGAGCTGTCCCACATCCCATACCTCAGACCCGAGCTTACCCAATGGTGGAGGAAGAACTGTTTCAGAGAAAAAGCAGAGAAAATGCTTTCTCAGTAGCAAAATGCTGGGCTTTTGCATTTCAAGCCGAAGTCCGGACATGTGTCAAAATACACTAGAGCTGTGATGTTCAATATACTAGCCGCATGTAGCTATTCAAACTTAAATTGAAATGAGTTAAAAATACGAGGCCGGGCACAGTGGCTCACACCTGTAATCTCAGCACTTTGGGAGGCCAAGGTAGGTGGATCGCTTGAGGTCGGGAGTTGGAGACCAGTCTGGTCAACATGGCCAAACGCTGTATCCACCAAAAATGCAAAAATTAGCCAGCCATGGTGGCACCGTCTGTAATCCCAGCTACTTGGGAGGCTGAGGCAGGAGAATCACTTGAACCCGGGAGGCGGAGGTTGCAGCGAGCCGAGATCGCACCACTGCACTCTGGCCTGTGTGACAGAGTGAGACTCTGTCTCAAAACAATTAAAAATCAATAAAAACAAAACAAACCAAAAAAAAAAAAAAAAAAAAAGAAATGAGTTAAAATGAAATAAAATTAAAAATTCAGTTCCTCAGTCTGCCCAGTCACATTTCAAGTGCTCAATAGCCACATGTAGTTGGTGGCTACCATGTTCGACAGTGGAGATATTATAGAATATTTTCATTACCACTGAAAGTTCTACTGGACAGTGCTGCATTAGATAGGGATATTTTCTGTTTTGAGAGAAAGGTAAGGAGATTTATCTGTTTTGTCCACTGCTATTGCCCTAGGGCCTAGAACAACAGTGTTTACCACGTAGGAGGGTAATCAGCAAATCTGTGTTGAATTAATATTAGAGAAGTTAGAGCCAGTTTTCCATCACATCTACCTCTTTAACCAACTGATCTCAGATGGATACAGTTTGTCCAAATTGGTAAGGCAGGAAGATCAAGCCTAGGAGGTCAAGACTGCAGTGAGCCATGATTATGCTGCTGCACTCCAGCCTGGGTGATAGAGTGAGAATCTGTCTAAACAAAAAAGGTTAAAATGGTCAATTTTGTGTTATGCATATATATATTTTTTTTTTTTCTTTTTTTTTTTTTTTGAGACGGAGTCGCGCTCTGTTGCCCAGGCTGGAGTGCAGTGGCTGGATCTCAGCTCACTGCAAGTTCCGCCTCCCAGGTTTACGCCATTCTCCTGCCTCAGCCTCCCGAGTAGCTGGGACTACAGGTGCCCGCCACCTCGCCCGGCTAGTTTTTTGTATTTTTTAGTGGAGACGAGGTTTCACCATGTTAGCCAGGATGGTCTCGATCTCCTGACCTCGTGATCCGCCCGTCTCGGCCTCCCAAAGTGCTGGGATTACAGGCTTGAGCCACCGCGCCCGGCCCTGTGTTATGTATATTTAATCACAATAAGAAATTGGCCAGGGCCAGGCACAGTGGCTCATGCCTGTAATTCTAGCACTTTGGGAGCCGAGGCAGGTGGATCACTTGTGGTCAGGAGTTAGAGACCAGCCTGGCCAACATGGTGAAATCCCATCTCTATCAAAAATACAAACATTGGCCGGGCTCGGTGGCTCAAGCCTGTAATCCCAGCACTTTGGGAGGCCGAGACAGGCGGATCACGAGGTCAAGAGATCGAGACCATCCTGGATAATACGGTGAAACCCCGTCTCTACTAAAAAATACAAAAAAAAACCTAGCCGGGCAAGGTGGCGGGCGCCTGTAG